GGGCTCGGCGGCCGCCGCGCGCGGAGGTGCCGCCCCCGCCGTGCCCGTGCCGCGGATTTTCCTTCTGTGCCCTCCTTTTGCTCCGGTTCAGACCTCCAGCTAAGCAGAGCCCAGACAACCGTGTTTAAAAGCTTCGTTTAAAAATTTAGACCCGCTGCAATAAAACTGATCCGTGGCCCAAAAGGCCACTTGTGTCGAGGTGTCAAACTCCTCTAAGTTCGAGTTTAAAACGTGTTTTGAGATGATTCAAACCACCCTACTTTCAACACGTACCAACTGGAAAGATAAAAACTGGTACCACGACGCTTGGAAATAAGTACATAATGTACAGACTTGTTAATTGCCAGCACGTGCAATTTTATCACAGGTCTTGCAAGAGTGTTTTTCTTTAATTCCAGCTGCTGGAATTAGAAAAGTGCAGAATTTCAGAAGTTTGGAAATGTGAAATACTGGTATTCTAAAAAACATATGTACATCTGAACATCTGAATCCAAGTTCACTTAGAGGGTGAATAATGATTTCTGAACAGCTGATGCTGCCAGAAGAGTAAAAATTGTCCTAAACAAGGACATACGAAAGGGATTTTTTTTGTGGTGCATGAAATCCAATTAAAGTCAAAGAATCTAAAGAAGACTCGCATTCATAAGTTCAGATATGGGTAGTAAAATATATTTAAAAGGTACCGTAATATTTTGATAAGCATGAGAAAATTTGGTCCTTCAGAACTAGTGTATGTATCACTGGTCAATGCTCATAGTAGGCTACCAAACCAGTAATGCATCAAGCCCAGTGCTGTGGACACAAGAGTTGCACTTAATTACGCATAAGCTGTTCATTAAATTGATTGTTCTGGCACTGCAGGAAAAAAAAAAAAAGTACAAGCCCATTTATTTAGATCTTTTAAAAAAGAATTTTGACAACCGCAGATTAGAACAGTTTATAAATAATCATATATTTTGTGACATGCTTTCTTTCCCAAACTGCAGTGTCTTACTAAACTTCTAGGGAAATCTCTACCTGCTCCCAACGAACAGTTTATAAATAATCATATATTTTCCCAAACTGCAGTGTTTTACTAAACTTATAGGGAAATCTCTACCTGCTCCCAAGCTTGCTCAAAGCCTTGGACAGAAAAAGGCGAGCGCTCCTTGCTCTCCATTTTAGCCTTTGCTGTAGTGCCCTGTGTGTTTTCTGTTGTCTATTGAACTCAGTTGAAACTGGCCAGGAAATTAAAATTCTATAAGGGAGAACTAGGGGACAGAGACATACAGCATTCGTGGATAGGTCTTGCTTCCTTAGGAAAAAAACGCTCAAAATGCAAACAGGAATTACTATTCGGAAGTTCAAGACCGGGAAGCATTCTCAAGATGTAAAGCGGTGTAGCTTATAGTGCAGCACCTTTGTGGCTTATATCATCCCAAAACCCAGCTCGGTAGGAACCAAACAACAGGTCAAAGAATAATAGAACGTGGGTTTACGCTGCAGGTAGTGGTGACTCCAGCATGTCGGAGTTACTAAATAGTAGGAATCCGGTAAAGGTTGTGTCGTCGTCTGCATCGGCAAACAGCCCGTTGAAGGCTTCTCCAGGGTGAGCCTGCAGCCAGACCTCGTCTCCGCTCTGGAGTTCAAGGATGGTGGCTCCGGAGGCCTGGTCTTCAGCGCCCTGGTACATGTCCACAGTGTGCAGCAGCTTGATCCCGTTCTTCACTAGGGCAACTCTGACGTTCCGGGAGTAGATGGTGATGTGGTAGGTGAAATAGTAGACGCCAGGATGCTTGCAGGTGAACTTGCCAGTGGTTGGGTTGTAATCATTTAGGCCGTTGTAGAGGACCTTGTCAAACTTGATGGGACGGTTGGAAGGGGGAAATTTGGTGGAGACTGTGAGGCCTACACTGAAAGCACTTCTTGGCAGGACTGCAGTGGCACCGACGTTCCCTTTATCTCCTCTGTCCCCTTTCAAGCCTCTTTCCCCCTGAACTCCTGGATTACCCTGTGGCCCCAAGTCACCAGCACTTCCTTTAGGACCTGGATAACCAGTTGGGCCAATAGGCCCTGGCAAACCAATTCTTCCAGGATGGCCAATCTCACCCTTGGTCCCTTTTGGACCTATGGGCCCAATGTCTCCTTTTAATCCCTTTTGCCCCTGCAGTCCCAGCTCTCCCTTCTGACCTTTGTAACCCACTGATCCTATAACTCCTTTTGGTCCAAGTTTCCCAGGTCGTCCTCTTTCTCCCTTATCTCCTTTGTTCCCTTTTTCTTCAACAGTCCCATTGGCTCCTAAATGAAAAAAAGAAGACACTGTATTGTGATCTTCCACCAGCATAGTGAAGCAAAACATGCATTTCAGCAAAATAAAATAGGTGTGTAAATATGTGTCATCACTGCCTACTCCTGCATATGCAGTACCCCATACCTATAAGTGTAGCATAAACATAGCGTCTAATGAGTCTGCTATGGCCTTAAAAAGCAGCTGCCAGGAACAGCAAGAGACAGGAATGGGTGGCTACCCGCTTTTTCTGCAGGCTGATAACAACCCTGAAAGCTCAGATTATGTGAAACGTTGTGTATCCAGACACTGCTTTCAGCCTTCGGTCTGCAAAGTAGCTGGTTCACAGCCTAGTAGATGGAAGGGGAAGGCATCTGGCCCACAAGGTGACACCCAGCACTTGCTTCTATGCAGTTTCTACACAGTGGGGCTTTGCTTGAGATACCTACATAATACCAAAGTGTAGCTAAAGGGGTTTTGTCCTTGTTTTTTCGTCAACATGCTCCATTTATGCTTCACTCACTCTTGCACCTGAGTCCAGAACCCTTGAAAAGCCACTGATAACTGTGGAGATTCCCAGGTGAAGGTCTTACAATGGGAAGGGCAATTAGCAGGAGATAGACTTGTCTGTCAGAAGCTACTATAATGTTCACATACTCTGTTGTTATCATTCAGCAAAAGCATCTGATAATTCTTTCATAAAACTCCCAGATTTAGGCAGTAAAAATTTGCATTACACTATTTACATTACTTCTGACCTTCTTGAAGTTACTGAGAGTGTTTAACAGCAGCAAGAAACTAAGAACAGGTGAGATTCTTTACTGAGGCCCCGTGTGAAGCTAACTAGTAAATTGAAACTCTCTTTCTCTCACCTCGTTCTCCTTTCTCTCCATTTGCACCATCTTTCCCTGGAGATCCAGGAATTCCCATTTCACCTAGTAAAAAAGAGAAAAACAGATCTTCGTTAAACAATTACATTGCTGCAGAACTGGGGTTTAATTTTTGCTGTGATCCTTCATCTGCAAGCCTTGGTTAACAGTGATGTGAAGAAGAGTTACTGGATGCCACTGCTGAAACTTACATCTTACAGGGAAATAGAGAGCATGGAAAGAGTATTGAGACCAGGGCTTTTGGAGACAAAGGAATCCTTAGGTGAGAAAGAGAAACAGAAAACCCCTTCCTATTATACCAAAGAAGAAATCAGTTGTTTGGTGTTTTTTTTTTTTTTTTTTTTTTTGGGGGGGGGGGTGTTTTATGAATGTGAAGTTTGTTGCAAAGGTGCTTTACTGAAAGATCATTGCATTTGCAGTCTTGCAAATGTAATAGCAACTTTGAAGACTTCAAAATTCTCAGACAGATCTGAAAATATCCCCAAAATAGAAGATAAATTCTTTCTTAAGTTATTCTTGTCTCCTCCACTTGACCTCTCAATAGTATTTGCTGTCTTGCTCTCTTTCTCAAGTCTTGTTTTACATTTCCTTCTTCAAACAAGGAAACAGAGGATTGTGTGAAAAGTGCTCTGAAGGCTGGGCAGAATAATCCTGTTAACGGGCTGTGACTACAGGCAGCTTCAGCAACTAAAGGCGCCCAATTTCACACATTAAATTGTTTATGTTGAACACAGTACCTGGATCCCCCTTGTCGCCTTTTGAGCCGTCACGTCCATCCCGTCCAGGTATGCCATTGTGGCCAGGATTGCCAGGGATGCCAGGATACCCTCGGGTACACATGTCCTGCTTTTGTGTTTCTTCCGTGCTGACTACAATAGCCAGCAGTATGATCCAGCTTTTCATTCTTTAGATAATTGTGTAATTTTGGCTGAAAGATTTAAGAAAGGAAAAGTAGGTCTGCCTGTATCTACCTCATTGTCTCTGTTCCTATATTTAGCCTGTGAGCTTGTGAATTCAGGAAGGGGATGCAGGGTAGGGGGAAGGAAATGGATTGTCCGTCCGTCCGTCCCCCCCTTTTTATAGGTCTGTTTATAGTGTTAGATACAATCCTGGGGACTGCTGAGTGCTATTTGAGATATTATTTTAATAGGAATATCAATCACAGTTTCATCAGACTCTTGAGACTTTAACTCAGCTTTACATTTTACATTTACATTTCAAATGCTTTACATTTAAAACATGTTACGTTTACATTTAAATGTAAAAAATTACATTTAAAACATTTCTTAATTGGGAGGATCAAGTTCTGCTTCATATTTTCTTACGTAGTGTGACTTGTGAAAGTACCTGCAAAGAAACAGAATTTGTACATGGATAAATGGTGAGGAGTTAGAAGCCATGCAAGCTTTGGGGAGGATTAGAATGACCCTTGGTATCCACGGGATCTAGTCAGCAAAGCTTGGCATATTCCACAGAGTTTTACTGTCTTCTATCTAAACCAGAAGTGGATTGATGAAGTCCAGATTTCATAGATTTTGCTGAACCCAGTCCAAACATAAAGAGCAGAAGAGAATGGCAACTTAAACAAAAGTGATCATCAGTTTTGTTTTCAGCAATTAAAGCAAGGAATTTATAGCTGCACCAGATATCTGGCAAAGAACTTTTAAGGATCTGATTTACATTGACCAATATCCTGAAAACCCTATCTCGGCAAGTGTATACCAAAGAGTGCTAGCAACAAGTTACTGCTGTTCTAAACCCGCATTGACAGTTAAAATGTCAGCTCTTTGAGGTGACTCAGGCTGGGTCAGTGATGCTTTACTCATACAAAAGGTTTCTGTACAGGTCCTGTCTCTCTGAGTTGCAGTTTAGCTTGTATAATGTTCAGACATTCTCCTTCCTCAGGAATCTCTTTATGGACTCCTCCAGCCAGACCTGCACCCAAAGAAAAGCTGCTTCACAGCCAGTGCCTCCTTTCAGAACCATGCATCTGACAGCTCTTTAAGAATAAAAGAGGGTCAGATAATGGAGGCATCCCAACAGCTCATGACCATGAAGAAGCTGAGGTCCTAATGCCAACTGCTCCATGCACGTTTCTCCCAGCTCAGGGCTACAACTGCACTGCTGCTCTCTCAGGAGCTGGCTCTTGTGCCTACAGGAGGTGAGCTAAGGTGAGTCCACTCACCAATTCAGCACAAAAAAAGTCACAGTCCTTTTTTTTAATTTTTTTTGTCAAAATAGTCTTCTGGGTTAATAAGTTGCGTGGCCTCAAAGAGGGTCAGACCCTGAGTAGAGTGAGATGAGCGGAAAGATGTGAGGAATCAAGAAAAGGAGCTTTTTGGTAAAAGGCTGGCTCACATGTAACAGCATAAAGCCAGCTTAGATTTATTTTTTCATTAGATATTCTGTCATATTTAATAGCCTTTAATAGAGGCCCGCTGAAGTACATTAATACTTCTGGGCTTTTCTATGACACTTTATATAAGAGCAACTAATGGGAAAAGATTAGATTCAGAGACAAAAATCAAGTAGAAGCAAAATGAGTGCCTATTTTATTTGGAGTTAATATGCATAAACATCTCAAATGTTCAGCTCAGACGATGTAGATTAAGTACTTATTCACACTAGTAAAAGTGATGGTCAGAATGAGTAAATTTCACATAATTGGCTTAAATCAGCTCTGTCATTAATGTGAAATAAATAGTAAGATCAATGTTTCTTTTGAAATACTAATGAGTACTGACTAAGCAAATTTTGTCTTCTGTTTAGTCTGTTCACCATCATTTCTCAGGTTTACAGAACAAAGAAGACAGGATACCATGTAAAAAGAGAGATACCTTTGTATGTTCTCAATAAAAATAACTCTGTTAGGAATATTCAACCTCAGTATTTTTTTAATTTGATTTATACAAAATAGCTCTCAACTTTGGGACACTTTCCTTAATATTCCATTCTGTTTCCAAAAGCATTCCCAATTTTACAACAATTATTGGAAATGTTATTTATGGTGACTCTTCCAGTGGTCTACAAAGAGATACTTGATCATATATCAGCGAAATCCCTTTTTGTTAATGCTAATTTGCAAAGAAGGAAGTTGAAAATAGGTCAAACAATTTCTTACTACTTCTGTGCTATGTAAATATTTGCTACCTTAGTCAAAAGACTCTAGAGGAGTGTAGGAGTGCAAAAGGAAGGAAAAGTGCTTTATAGAAAGTGGTTAGGGTGTGATATGCCCTATGGAAAAGTGTGCTACCATCTCCTGACAGAAAAATCCATTCCCAGTCGTCTAAGGGAGTGGTTTTTACCTAAGGAATAGACATTTGGTCCTCATACCCACAAGATGACATCATCATCATCATTATCATCATCATATATAGGATATTTGGTCTTACCTCATTTACTTTGTACTTGTGCTATTCTTCGGCATCTTTCTCCAGGGTGGATGTGCTATTCTTCGGCATCTTTCTCCAGTTACCACCCTGTGGTAACTTTCATGTAAAGGAATGCAGGCACCAACTGCGCTGTCTGGACACGCACTTGTTTGGTCACTAAATTCTCAAAGGTCAGTGATTTAATTTTGTGAGCTGTTCAATAATTAAAATAGAGGTTTAAACAAGAATCTTTCTATTTATTCCAGTACTATGCTGAAGCGCTCTGCACTTTGGATTTTGCCACTGGTAGGTAGAAGAAAATTGTTAAAATGGATTAACAAGGCTTGAGTTGCTTGTTTAGTTACATACATACATTGCACAAATGTTAGCTTTTGACTTATATACGTCTATAGGACAGAAAGAAGTATCGTGCCAATACTGTGCTTCAAAAATCAGAAAAAAGTTAAAATGCAGTTTACAGTGGAAGCTGAGGGAGACCTGACAAATAGGCTAAAGAAATTAAAAACACTAAAATGATATAAAAATACCATTGCAAATATTAGACTCCAAAAAAGAAACAACCCTGAACTGAAGTAAGAGAACTGAATGACAAAGAGCTTTTAGTGCCTATTTCTAAGGATACTCACCTAGCCATTCATGCAGCGGCTAAAGCTGTCATGCTACTAAGTATTTTATTGATGACTAAGTTCAAGGAAGCCATAAAATGATTCTCAATTGTAACTTCTTGAAATTAGTGCAATTGCTGGTCTCTAAGGGGCAGTAGAAGTAAGGCACAGCAGCTCCATAAATGCTGATCATGAACATTAATGGTTAAAGCAGGCGGATAAAACAGGAATTAATGTGTTACAAGAAGTGGCCTTAATTCACCCGGTCGGTGGAAGTTCCTGGAAGTGCCATGTCCAAGGAGAGCCCCACACTGCAGGGACAGGACAAGTATGACCTGTATATCAGGCAATGTAATTTTCAGTAGTATAAAACTACTAAGAAAAACTAGGTTAGGATTGAGCAGTGAGTAGTTTCACCAAGGTCTTCACCACCACCCTGTGGTAATAAAAAATATTGCAGGCTTTATGGTGCCCTGGATTGTACCTGGAATATTATATGTACTGTGCACCGAGGAAGAGATGCACAATGTGCAGCCATAGGCTGCTCTCCTTGGGAGAACTTCTCTAGGCAAATTAGTCTAACTACTTTGCTAATAAGAAGATTTGGGAGCCAATGACTGATACTCCTTTTCTCTTTATCTATTGGATAGGGATCATCTGAAATGTTGTGTGGTTGTTAATCCTCTGTCTCTGTTCACACTTTAAAAGCTGAGTCATTAAAATATCCTATTCCTGCAGCTTAGTGCTCTGGTCTCAGCGATGGATGCAAATAGGCCCAAAAAAAGGCAATGAATTTTGCAGACAACCGTAGTCTATCCCGCAGAGACAAGGATAGAATCATAGAATGCTTCAGGCTGGACGGGACCTCTAGAGGTCATCTAGTCCAACCCCCCTGCACACGCAGGGTCACCTAGAACACGTGGCACAGGGTGGCATCCAGGCAGGTTTTGAAGATCTCCTGAGAAGGAGACTCCACAACCTCTCTGGGCAACCTGTTCCAGGGCTCTGTCACTCTCACTGTTAAGAAATTTTTCCTTAAGTTCCTGAGGAACTTTTGATGCTTCAGTTTCTGCCGTTTCCTCTAGTTCTGTTGGTGGCCACCACTGAAAAGAGGCCAGCACCATCCTCCTCACTGCCTCCCTTGAGGTACTTATAGACACTGATTAGATCCCCTCTCAGCCTTCTCTTCTCCAGGCTGAACAGGCTCAGCTCCCTCAGCCTCTCCTCA